GGACTAACAAGTTTCAATGATGGTGAGGATATACCTTCTACAGATATGAGGTGAGGCTGTGCACCACGTGTTGGCTCGTCATCACGAGTGATACGTAAACGGTCAAGTCGAAACAGTCGTAGAGGCTTACTGACCTTTATGGAGCGTGCCGTGGATCGACTAGTAAGTTCGATAGAAACAAGTAGTCAGACTCGAGGTATAAATTCATCTGCGAATATGTCCGTTCAAATTGAAAACATTGAGGACCAATGCTTTGATTTATTGGGAACGTTACAAATATCACAAGAGCAATACCTTTTCATGTTCAACTTTATGACTTCGTATCCTACACTTTAGCGGCCATTCCTTCGTATGCCAGAACACCATCGTCTTGTGTGGATTCAGAAGACTATGGAGCAATATGCAAATCAACAAGTTCCTCCTCCGCCACCACATTAAATGCCTATCCCCCCGTTCTTTCAGTCTCACGTACAACCGAATCCTGCACCCGCCTACACATTTCAGCAAACCACTTCAACTTTCCAACCGTACGTGCCACCATTTCCAATGCCACGTGGAGGAGATGGTTATTCACAATTGTGATGGCGGCGGCATAATATAGTTGGTTGAGATTTCTAGATTACATTTACTTGTTATGAACTTAAATAGACTTGTCGTTATTGATGCGTTTACGGTTTTATTTCCTTCATTAGTTGTCAGTATTAGTACTGATGAATCTTTTCTAATTTGAGGACAATGTTATTGCTTTGAACATATTTTATCGAAGAGTTGATTTATATGATTTACAGTTATGCATACGTTTTGTAATATTTAACTTTATGCTTTATTAGTTGAAGAATTTGGCAGGGATGGATATAGGTGGGAATTCAAACCCAATGGATCCTAATGAATCAGCAAGTGACAGTGATGATAATTTTTTCAGGCAAGTGGTAGTTGCAGCGACTTTGTTATGTGTTGGATTTGTGTACAGAGAACCTTCCCACCGAAGGCACACTTTAGGTTAGGGAGGTGCAGTTAGAGTGAATTAAAAGACTCCCACATTATTGCACCAAGCCAACAATGCATTAGTATTTGAATACTATTTTAGATTATTTTCATAATTACCTCCAAATTATGTATCTAATTCAAAATGCTTTTTAATTTTTTAAAATGATTTAAAACATCTCTTAATATATAGAAAAGAGATCAAGCTGTTCTCTCCCTCTTTTATAACTTTAACAAAAGTGCCTATGTGGCATGCCATTAAAAGCCAACTAATTCTAATTAAAATATAAAAGAGTAAATATTGAAACAATAATAACAAAATAATAAAAAAAAATTCCTAACATTTTTTCCCTCTTTCTTCTCACTCTATCATTTGCTATATTCCTTTTAGGGGTGTAAGAAATGAGTCTGAACCTGAATAATCCGCCTGACTTGAAAGTGTAGGATTTTATTATTATTATTTAAATTCTGATTCAAATAGTCCCAACCCGCACTGTGCGAGTTAGGGGGCGGGGCGGACATTTTGAACTCACTTTGCCCCGACCCGACTCGATTTAGGTGTGTAACCCTAAATATATTTTGTTGGACTATCTCTATAAGGACTGTTTATTTGACATATTGTTAATTTTATTTTTAGACTTTATTGACTGTTAAGAAGTATGTTTGATGTTATGTTAATGCTTATGGACTGTTTATGGATTTGATGCTTTTAGACTGTTAAAATAGGTATGAAGTCATAGATTAAAATTAGTTTTCATCAATCCGAGTAACCTGAGCCTGCCTGAGGTCACCCGACAGATTATGGATTTGTGGGCTTAAAAGAGTGTTGCAACCTAAAATTTTCTCAACCCGCACTGAGTGGGTCGGCTCAATTTTTCGGCTCAACCCGACCCTATTCCTTTCTCGAAAACATGATGCATCTCATTTCTTAAGTCAGACCATGATCATGACGACATAAGCTTCGATGTCGGCATCGGATCTATCCCCTCACCCCCCTCCCCCACCACGACGGCGATGGATGATCCGATCCCCCATCCGACGGTAGCGTGATCCCCTCGACAGATGAATACCCAACTGTTTTTCCTACCGATGGCGGCGCAAACACAACCTCCTATGAAGGCAACACGAACTCAGCCCTCACGGCGGCACGAACCAATCTTCCATTGACGACGATGCGATCTTCTTCACTCTTGCGGCGCCGATCTCCCTATTACACGGTGGCGCAAATCACTCTATCCCTGACCGGCGTGAGCTCTTCCGCCTTTATCCCCGATTTCCTCTTCTGTTTTGGGTCCTTTGTTTTCAGTTTGTAATAGAAAGCTTTTCAACCAAACAAAATCGTGGATTCTAGCTCCACAGTGGGTGATGTTTATTTGAGCCCCAAAAAATTTCCAATTCAGGATGATAAGAAACACTTTTATCACTATAAAGAAGATCTACATGTTTTTGGTGGGAATCAAAGAGAAATAAGAAAGATTTTGAGGAGAGTGATCTAAGGAGAGCAAAAGAAAAGTTTTCAGAATTTTCTAAAATTTGGGATCCTTTAATTTTTTTAATTTATTATTTTTTTAAAAAAACATTTTCTCCCTTTATATTTTTTTAATATTTAAATATTTTCATATTTTGATAATGGTTTTAATTAATGTTTAATGGTTGCCATGTCACAAACTGTTAGGATTATAAATGGATTTAGACGGAGGAGGAGTTATTTGTTTTTTTTATAGATGATGTGTGTTTTGAATTATCTTAAAAAATTAAGAGGCATTTTGAGATAAGATACATAATTTAAGGGCATTTATGAAAACAATCTTATTATTTTCCAACAAAAATTATAAGATCCTAAGTTTTTTTATTTTTTATTTTTTATTTTTTTTATTTTATAAGTTTGGTTGTATCTCAATCATTTAAAAATTATTTAATATATATATTTCAGATATAAGAAATCTGACATAAACATGTATAAAAAGTAGTAGTATTTTCTCCTCGGTACTCCTGTTTTCTTCTGATCATTGTGTCGTTCGAGTGTGGATATGGGATTGCGAATTTTGCATGCATTATTTTGTGAGATAGGGATTGTGGCTGGCATTTACTGGGTGATGAATGAATGAAGTGGACCCACCTTCTCTTTACGTATATGATACGTGACATGTCTTCGTGGCAAATCCGTGAACATTTCTGGTGCATGTCTTTGGTCCCAGAACGCAAGTGAAAATACTAAAAAATATCATCGGCTAAAAGAAATTGCAAATAGAAGAGGGAAATAAAATGACCTTATGTTAAACCGTCTTACAAGTAAGCCAATATTCATTGTAAATTTTATTCGAGCGGAGGGGATTTATATATATATATATACATTTTTTTTTTCTAAAACATAAATAACATAAAAAAATATACAATAAATTATATTATAATTTTTTTGAAGAACTATTAATTACATATTGTAAATTTTATTATATGAAAAATACGTCACCGAGGGTTTTGTGTTGAAATTTTAGATTTTTTTAATATATAAGATGTTATTGTATATTTCTTTTATTTTGATGTAATTTTGATCAATTTAGCGTTTAGAATTGTGCATTACCAATAAGAATATTCTACTATAGATTTTTTTTTTTTCATTTCAATATCTTGCATTTTAAGGAGATAAAAAACCATACCTTATATTTTATATTTGTCACATTTATAGCTTTCCGATTTCAAAATTATGCTCCATTCTTATATTTTCTTGACCAATGGTCAATTTAACTTCAAAACATATCCTAATTAACGCTGTCAATAAAATAAAAGAATTACGAAAAAGAATTGTAAAATGTTTAGAATATTCGGATCTTTTTCATAGTCAAAATCAAGCTCAAACTAAAGAAATATAAATTTAACATAAAGATAATATAAACGTGATGTAGTAAAAAATATAAGACATCATAAAAGGCATTACAATTGCTCGTGAGTAAAATGAGTAAACTTGTTTATAAATGAAATTTAGGAATAAAATGAAGAAAAATAGTAAAATTCAGGGAGCATATATGAGAATATAAAATTTTAGTGGGGGCAAAATAAAAAGTTAAAATCTTCCAAATGGTCAAATTTTTATTTCAGCCCCCACTCGGCACCATGTGCCTCCACCCCTGCATATATTATTATTATTTTGTAGTTCGTCTTATATATACAAGTTTTCAACTGTTTGTCCTTTTTGTTTAATGGACCTTCTTAGATAGGATAAAGAAAAAATGAACTACCAATATTTTTATTTTTTTACCCAGATTTATATAAAAAATTATCTATTGCACATATAAAAAATTATTTATTTCGCATACTTTTTAAACTTAATGTGATTTTAACTAGATCCGACAATTATAGACTGACACTACTGACAAAACTCCTTTTCATTAATAAAGAACAAAACTAGTAGTTCAGTACATAAAACAGTTTTAGGTGTATTGTTTTACAATTCAATAATAAAAATATGATTTTCCCGTCTAAGTATTGAATGTTCAATACTATAATATTAAAGTTCAATAATATCAACAACAAAAAAAAAGAGTTCAGAGAAAAGAGGTAACTTGATGATCTTTATGAGCAACATTACAAGTATATGAAATAACAATTTTCAGGCACTGCTTGGTACATTTTAAACAGCCCTTTAATTACACATCTAAAAAGAAAGAGAAAAGCCCTTTTCAATAACATAAAATAAACAATCAAAGAGTCAAAACCGAGAAATTTACTAGAGTGATTATCTAACAAAGTGAAGTTAGTAAAATGACGTCTTCATTTTCTATAAAGAATGATCACTCGGCCGCGTTTTTTTGTAAAAACTGGTCGTTCCTTATAGTTCCATAGTCATTTTGCAAATAAAAATTTTTCAAAAGTTATTTTGACTTTTTTATTGAGTCATTTTTACAAAGCTCTTGTCAAAACCAATATTGATATTCTGAGAGAAGAAAATCAAAGGGTGTGTGTGTATATATATATATATATATATATATAATTCTCGTGAATACCACAAGAGTACTTAATCAAATATTCTTCACATTATTCCATAGCATGAAAACGACAAGACCAATTAGAGAAGGCACAATAACATAAGCTCCACCAATATGACTAAACGCAGATGAAGTATTAGGAATGTTGTTTCTGGAAGAAGGATTGTTGGGAAGATCAGAGCCGGTTGTTGCCTGAGGTGCACCAACCGGTGCATAATCTTGATTGCTTTCTACCTTCATTTGCAGCTTCATTCCTCCCAGGCAATGTAACTTGTTGCCACATACAAAGTACATCTGGCCTGCCTTTGTCAATGGCACGGTCGTGTTTCCATTTGAAAATGTGTTCAAGACGTTGGTTGTGTTGCAACTGTTGAAGCTTTCTCTTGTCACTTCACTTACACTATGAGTTGATGAATATTGGAACACTACAAAACCATCAATATACAAATATTTAGTAGTTTCATTTATAGGAGAATTCATATAGATGAAGCTGGGCTTTTGAGACTTTAAACCTATGAACATTCATTATTTGGTGACTTGTCATTGGAGCTTTAAATATTTGTAATCAGCCATTTTGAAATTTTCAAACAATTGTATAATGTGGCCCAAATTGATAACACCAGTTGAATTGGTGACGAAAAGAAAGGAATTAATTACCAAATTGAACACGTGCGATTTGTCATAACATGAAAAGTTCAACGGCCGGGTGGCAGACGTCGGGATATCAAATTTAAACAAGAACAATGCTATTAATCTCCACTCTCTCACAAAAGATGGGCTCCACAAATGGATCCCACTCTCTATGAGAGAGCGGAGATAAAATCTCTTCGGGTTATACAACATTTTCCCTTAAACAATGTTATTAGCCACATGCAATGGTTTGATAAGTTTAAAGAGTTAATTATCAAACTGAAAAATATGGGAATAATTTAAGGGATGAAGTGCTAATTAAAAAACCTATAAATTATATGTAAATCCCAGAAAGTTTGACAGAAATGTAGCTTAGAAATTAGAGAAAATAATCAACTGATCAACTATAATTTGTATAGTTCAGCAAGAGGACTCACCAAGAATATCACCCACGTTGAATATCTTGCCGTTTATCCATGAATCAAGATTTGTACTTATATCCCAACCAGAAGTATCTCCCACCGTGTACGTAGTTGCTCCACAAGTAATTGCAGAGCCAAGCACAAGAAAAGCATAAACTAGAAGCAGCTTTTCCATGTTACTTAGATATTGGCAAATATTGGGCTATAGCTATATATAGCTGAACCAGTTGGAGACGACAATATAACTATAAATGATTTATATATATACATGAAGGTTGCTTATATTAGATGACCTAACTTCAACAGATCAGAGAATGATTTGCTCTTCTTTCTTCCTTTATTAATCAAACGTCATTTTTTATGCTTACTATGCACAGTACTATCAATTACTTGAAACGATCAAAATTGCACTTGTTATTATCTTCAATATTTAAAAAAAAAAAAAAAAAAGAAACAAGAAACAAGACTTGCCATTTATATTGGCGAGTCTACAAGACAACAATATTATTCTGCCTTGATAATTGAGGAGATTGTTAATTACCTAACTTTTTATACATAAATTGCTTAAGTAAATATAATTTGTTTTGATGTTGGTAGGTAAGTTGGGTGAGGACGATGTTTCATTGGTGCACAGGGATGTTAAACACCTCCCAACCTCCAATTCTTACTTTATTTGACTTTTACAAAGAAAAATATATGTCGGTACGCTTCTTCCTGCCAAAAACAAACTAAGAGCTAGACTTCATTCCAAAAGAAAATACAATTGAACACAATATTGATAGTAACCAAATAACTAATTATAACAGTAATGAATCTAGGTATATACTTGCAAAATGATCTATTGTTATAGTCCAAGATCAAGTTTGGTTATGTACGAAAAGTCTAGTATTTATCTTGGGTGTGAACGTTATAGATATATGGAGATTTTGTTTCCCCATTTATCATTTTTTAACATTTTTTAACATTTTTTTAACATTTTTTTAAGAAACACTATTAATTCTTATCATTTAATTTACTATGAAATGTCAAATTTTCAACAAGACAATATAGGAGACAACAACTCCATATCTCCCACATAAATATTATAACGTATGTGCCTATATATTCCGCATTTCATCGCTTAAATATTTAATATATGGCAATTAATCATTTTAATTTAATATAAAATGCACTGTATGGCTTGGGCAGAACTCACAAGTCACACTGAAAAAGAATCAGGACTCAAGTTTTTACTAAGTATTTTCTCTCATAAAAATTCAAATTCTTCCGACATAGATTGTTTGCTCTCCGAACCGCCTGAAAAGGCCAACTTTGGTCCGGCCTTAATATGCTCCCAACAGAGATAATGTCATTTGCCAAAGCTAAAAAGGAAAAACTTTTAAGTTAGCGATCAAGTTGTGCATAAGCTTGCGTCCCCGCCAGCATTTTGTGCATTATCTATTTCATTATATACCAATATAAAAGAGACGCAGAGGTACTTGTGCGTTGGTATAATTTCGTAACTGAAACTATATATTATGAATGAACAAACGAAGGAAAAATAAAGGGAAAGAACAGCTAATAATTGTAAGAAAAGAAAAAAAAAATCTCCACTTTTTGTTTAGTATATACGTATAAGTATATATACTCTGGCCGATAAAGAAGTGTTTTGGCGATTCCTAAATCAAACACGTACACGACCGTCGTCTGACTTGGACAAACGATAAACTTCCTTGGAAAACATCAAACAAACAACAGAAAACAAGTGGGAAAGCAAATATTGGTTTTTTGTAAAGTGGGACCCAACTTCCATATCACCTATGACCCGATATACCAACTATACACGATTTTTATGCTTCATTAATTTTACCGATTCGAATTTTTAATTTTAAGTTTTTATAATTAAAAGTTTTAAGAAAATATCATAATAAACTTTTTCTGTTATAGTTAAAAAATTTTAAAAAAATATTATATCTTAATTTTAATTAAAAATTTGAATCTACAAAACAAACAGTGCCTCAATATACAGGGTTTATGATTAGAGTTTTAGGGAAAAAAAAGTGCGAAAAGAAAAAAAAAAAAAGGATTCGAAGCAATTCTACATGCACGCTTCTAGTCAGGTTCTTCAGCCACACAAACTAGATCTATTGTTAAAAAAAAAAAAAAAAAAAAA